CAACTTTAAAAAATCCGACCACTGCCCCCGAATTCCGGCCTCACTCCTTTCTAATCCCAGCCCTGGTTTCAATAAAACTTTATTTACAAAAACGGGTGGCATGCTTGTGAGCAAGAGTTTGCCGATGTACCTTCACCAGCCTCTGGGATCTGTCAAAGGAAGAAAGGACTCAGTTGCCTGCGGAAAGTCCTTAACTCAGCGAAACAGTCTGTGTATGGAGAACTGTTGCCTGCCCCAGGCTTCTCCTCGCTCCAGCCAAGGGTTGCCAGATCTTAACCTGATGCGGGACACCGAGATTTTGTGATCAATAGCTCGATCAATATTTTTAATCATTGGAAATACATTTTTTAAATTAATTAATTTATTTATTGGCTGTGTTGGGTCTTCGTTTCTGTACGAGGGCTTTCTCTAGTTGCGGCGAGCGGGGGCCACTCTTCATCGCGGTGCGCGGGCCTCTCACTGTCATGGCCTCTCTTGTTGCGGAGCACAGGCTCCGGACGCGCAGGCTTAGTAGTTGTGGCTCACGGGCCCAGTTGCTCCGCGGCATGTGGGATCTTCCCAGACCAGGGCTCGAACCCGTGTCTTCTGCATTGGCAGGCAGATTCTCAACCACTGCACCACCAGGGAAGCCCCTGGAAATACATTTTTTAAGTTTTAATTTGCAAGCCAAACTAATCCCACGGTTAAGCCAGATTCAGCCTATGGGTAGCCAGGTTGCAGTGGCTCACCTACCCAGTCTGTTTATCCTTTTGTGCTTTTTTCTTCTAAAAGCTTCTGGAGTGTTCCTACCTTCCCCTCCTCTCTCTCCTGAGTTCCCCTCTTCTTGCACCTATCACAGTGCATTTAGTATTTGAGTTTACATGCCTCTCCAATAAACTCTGAGTTGCTGCATGGCTCTACGTTTTCCTTATAGGGACCATTCCAGAACTTTGAACATAATATTCAATTTTTTTTGAAGTCCCAGAAACCCAGTAGAATGGAAAATATGATTCTTCCGACAATCTGTAGACAAGGAGCAAGATACTGGGTGGCAGGGTGCCTATAATGTTTTCTCCACTGACACTTCTGTCCCCAAGATTATCAGGGACCTTCTAGATGCTAAATCTGGGGGACACTTTTCAGTCCTAGACTTGCTTGACCATTTTGTAGCCATTTGATACTGTTGAACACTACCTTAATTTTGAAACTCTTGTACCTTGGATCTCACAACACCCTGCTCTCTTCTGTTCCAATACTTCTGGAGGCTCCTTTTACATCTCTTATATAGCCTCTGTGTGTGTTTTTACCCCTTAGTCTTTTATTTTGGAAAATTTCAAACCTACAGAAAAGTTGAAGCAAGTATAAACACAGGTACACACTTCACCTAGATTCACCAATTGTTAATATTGACTATTTTGCCACATTTACTATGTATACATACATACACACACACACACACACACCTTTTTTTTTTTTTATAACAGTTTGAAAATAAGTTGCAAACTTCGTGATATTTAACCCGGAAACAATTCAGCATGTATATCCCCAGACAAGGACGTTCCCCTACATAACCATGTGTCGCAGATTCAGTTCTCCAGTTCTGAGGTGGAGATCAACCTGCAGGTTTATTGAGTGCTGCTGGGATCCACACCTGTGAAAGGGAAGGGGGTTGCACTGCATTTTCAAGGAGGGCCTCAGGCAATCCCATAGGGAGCTCTAACTGGGGGACGGCCTATCACCTCTGCCCTGAGTTGGGACAAGGGGGCTGGACCTTTATATTCCCTTGTTTGTAAGTCATTGCCTGAGGGCTTCCCTGGAAACGGTGTGTGATCTCGGGCAAAGGAGCTGAGTGCAGCTGGGGCAATTCCACAGAACACTGAAGCCTTTAATCCTGAGCAGTGCGTTATGATAGTCCCTACTGTCTTAGTTCCTTCTGGCTGCCATAACTCAGACTGGGTAACTTATCAACAGACATTTATTTCTCACAGTTCTGAAGGCTGGAAGTCTGAGATCAGGTTGCAGCACGGTCATGTGAGGGCCCTCTCCTGGGGCACAGATTTCTCAAGTTGTATCCTCACAAGGTGGGAGGGGCTAGGGAGCTCTGTGGGATCTCTTTTATTTAAAGCATTAATCCCATTTAATAAGGGCTTCACCCTCATTACCTGATTGCCTCCCAATCAGGTAATAACACTGTCACATTGGGCATCAATTATTATTTATAAAATATTGGCTATATTCTCTGTGCTGTATATTACATCCTTGTATCTTATTTTATACCTAGTAGTTTGTACCTCTGAATCCCTTTTCCCTATCTTGCCCCTCCCCCAACCCCTGCATTCTTTAGGTCTTTAAGGGTGCCCTGATTTCTGCCTCCCTCTCCCCCCTGCGCCTTCCCCAAGCTGGAGGGCCAATCTCAAAAGTTTGTGCTCAGCCTTCCCACTGCCATAGTTCTTACCCCAGAGGCCAAGGAACCAGCATGGGGATTGTACCAACTTCCCCATATGTGTGTTCTACGTACACATTCAGGAATCGGGATTGTACCAACTTCCCCATATGTGTGTTCTACTTACACATTCAGGAATCAGGGAATTGACCCTGAGTGGGTCCATCAACCCGGGGAACCCAGTGTGAGCCAGACCTGGGCCAAGGCTCCATTTATTAGTTGGCCTCCTGTGACCCCACTCTAACTGGGGGCCCACAATGACTCATTTTCTGGTTTCAGTCTCAGTGCAGAGAATGCGTCTTCTAGGTGAGGACTGTAGGCCCCAGTGCAGCAATGGCATCACTTTTTATTCAGCTGGTGTTCAGAACTGCAGTTTTCAAACTTAGAGTTTCCAGTAATAACAATAATAATGTTTCTGAAAGTTGCAAATATCCCATATTAAATAGTAAGAGAAACAAATGTTCATTAGAGGACAAATTATTAGAAAAATGGAAACTCAATCTTGGAATATTAAAATTAACATTTCTAGCACTTCAGATACTCTCTAGACAGGTCTCAGAAAGAAGTTATGTAGTAAACCTTACTAATGCAAACATTTGTCATTGTTATTGCACTGATCTGATGCTTAGCAAAGAAGGAGGGGGTGTGACCTGGGGGACTTTCAAGCTTGCTTTATAAGACTCCTTTCTGTGGGTCTAAACTGCATAGCATGGGGTGCTCAGTCTTGCCTCAGATCACCTTTCCAGATTTATGTCACCCCAGTAGTTTAATTTCTGTTGGTTACTGCTCCTTCTGTTGGTGAGTTAGTTTAAACCTCACCTCCTTCAAGCTAGGATGCCTTTTCAGTCTGGTCATCTAACCCCAAACTGGGCTCATCTTCACCCAAACTTGGCTATGTGCTCACCAATTACAACCTTCCACACATCTCATTCAGATGTCCCCAGCTTTACTCATACTCATTTATGTGTGTATATGTTTGTGATTTTTTACCTATATAGATTTAAAAAAAAGAATCTACCGGGCTTCCATGGTGGTGCAGTGGTTGGGAGTCCGCCTGCCGATGCAGGGGACACAGGTTCGTGCCCTGGTCCGGGAAGATCCCACGTGCCGCGCAGCGGCTGGGCCCGTGAGCCATGGCCGCTGAGCCTGCGCTCCGCAACGGGAGAGGCCACAACAGTGAGAGGCCCGCGTACCGCAAAAAAAAAAAAAAAAAAAAAAATCTACCACCACATTCAGGATCCTGAGCAGTTTGATCTGTGCCCACTGCCCTTTTATAACCATACCAGCTTTCCTATTACTCCCCTACCCCAGTCTGTGATCCCAGGCAACCACTCATCTGTTCTCCATTTCTAAAATTTTGTCACATAAAAAACATTATATACATGGAATCATATAGTATATAATCTTTGAGAATTTTTTTTCAGCATAATTTCCTGGAAATTCATGTTACTGTGGCTATTAATAGTTCAAACTCATTTTTAAAATTTATTTATTTTTGGCTGTGTTGGGTCTTCGTTGCTGCGTGCAGGCCTTCTCTAGTCGTGGCAAGCACAGGCTACTCTTTGTCGTGGTGCGTGGGCTTCTCATTGCAGTGGCTTCTGTTGTTGCAGAGCACAGGTTCTAGGCACGTGGGCTTCAGGAGTTGTGGTACAAGGGCTCAGTAGTTGTAGCTCATGGGCTCTAGAGCGCAGGCTCAGTAGTTGTGGCTCACGGGCCTAGTTGCTCCGCGGCATGTGGGATCCTCCCAGACCAGGTCTCGAACCCGTGTCCCCTGCATTAGCAGGCAGATTCTCAACCACTGCGCCACCGGGGAAGCCCCGGGAATTTATTTTTACTTATTTTTTTGGCTGCTCCACCTGCAGTGGAAGCACAGTCTTAACCACTGGACCGCCAGGGAAGCCCCCATTGAGGCGAATTGAGGCAACCGTACAAGGGATCGTTCTGTATTATTTCATACAACTGCATGTGAATCTACAATTATCTCAACAGAATGTTCAATTAGAAAACAAGCAAAACTCACACACACACACACACACACACAGTGCTCAGAAACTTTTGGAAAGAGAATATCTAAGTTCCACACAAACAATATGCATGATTAACCCCACTCATTGGCCATCAGAGAAATGCAAGTTAAAGGTATTATTATATAACACTACACTCCTACCAGGATGGCAAAATGAAAAAGGGTGACAATACCTAGTGTTGATGAGGATGTAGACAACTGCCAGAAAGAGTATAAACTGGTATCAATACACCCACTCTGTGAAAGTGTTTGGCAGTGCCAAAGCGGCAGAACATTTACAGAACCTATGGCCAAGCAATCCCACTGCTAGGTATGTACACAACAGAAATTCTTTCAAATTTAAACCAAGAGAGGTGCACAAAAGATTTAGAGAAGCATTTATAATTGTTCCAAGCCGGAAATAACCTAAACGTCCACCAACAGAATTACTAAACTCTAAGATATTTATCACGTGTGGTAACAAAACGATGAAAAAAACTGCTCTACAAATGCGAATGAAATCTCCCAGACATACTGTTGAATTTTAAGAAAAAGCCGACCCCAAAGGCTTCATCTGTATGATTCCGTTTACTTAAATTTCAAAAACAATCAAAACACATCTATGGTGATAGAAGTCATGATTGTGGGTACTTTTGTGGAGATAACAAAAAGGGCAGGGACACAAGGGAGGCTTCTGTAACGACAGGACCTTTTAGATCTTGATCTAGATTGTAGATACATGAGTGTTTACACTTTGCAAATTTTCTTAGCCATATACTTATGAATTATGCCTTCTTTTGTACATACACTATACTTCAATAACAGTTTACCAAAAAACCTTACCACGTTTTTTTTTCATTATTTGCTTGTCTTTGCTCCAGATGGTAAGCTCCTATAGGGAAGTATAATTATCATCATCGTAGCTTCAGAATTGAAGAGTGCTGATACACAGAACATCAGAAACACGATATTGAACCGATGGTCACTTACATAGATCAGGCAACATTTAATCAGATACAGCATTCGTCCCACATCAGTTTCTAAGTATTTTGCAAATATTGATTCTTTTAGTCCTCATAACAACCCTACGAGGTAAGTACTATTTTCATCATTTTACAGATGATAAAACTGAAAGATTAAGTAACTTGCCCAATGTCAACACAGCTGGTTAAGGGCTGAACTGGGATTCCAACCCAGTTTGCCCCAAGTTTATGCTCTTAACCACTGCTCTATACATCGAACACTCGTGTGGCTGGTAAAGTTAAATCCTTGCTTAGTTTTATTTCTCAAGACCCCATGCTGCATCTGCAAGAAAGTAGTGGAAGTGCAAACTTTCTAACACAAATTAATTTGCAACACAGATGAGCTGATGTCACTCATAGGCAAAGAACTCTTCTGTTTCAATGAGAAAAAGAGAAAAACTCACTTAAAAAAAAGGGCAATGAATGAGTAGTCTATTGTCTTTTCACCCATCAGATCATTAAAGATTAAAAGACAGTCTCAGCGAGTAGAGGAAATCAATTTTATACACTGTTAGCACAAGTTTACCACCTTTTTTGAGAGCTATTTGGCAGTGTCTATTAAATTAAAAAATGTATGTAGTCTGAGTCATTGATTCCACTTCCAAAAATTAAGAACACAGAAGTACTTGTCCAAGTGTGCAAACACTTCCCCAAGGAGGCTTATTAACAATTATCCTTGTGACATTTCAGAGCAACACAGGTAAAGACCTATGAGCCTTCAGAGAAAAACAAATGTCACAAAGGCTCAGAAATCAAAATGCCTCTTGTAACATTTCAGGGAAGCTAGAAAATGACCCTGAGATTCTGTTCAGTTTCTTTCCCTGGCAGCCTTCTTCTTAAAGTGGCAACACTGCTCTTTACAGGTTTGTGGTTGCTAATCCATTTTTGTATCACTTATTGTTCATTTTTATGAATAGTTATTGGCAAAATAATAGCATATGCATGTATTTATTTAATGTTTTTTAAAAGAGTAATATAAAGTGTTAAGTGAGAATGGGCTTTCTATTTTTTTATAGTTCTACAGTCTTTTGTAATTCCTACACTACTTTTGCAATAAAAACCCCTAAGCCGTCTTTTAAATAAATAGGAAAAAACCCTGACACTTTGTTTGGCATGGCCAGCTCGCTGTGTGGAATAGCTCACGCGCCCAATCTTAATGGTTATCTAAATGCGAATATGGAGTAAATATCCTACTGAAATGTTTCTCAGTCCTTGGAAAAGATTTTAAAATTTATTTAGATTTAGTATATGCCTGACATTCTACACCGTGCACGTGAGAAACAGCAGATGACCTGGACAGCGCGTTTGCTTCCCTGTGCTGGCTGTTCTATGAAGGTGTGGCGCTCAGGTGCCTGGGCTGGGGTTGTGGCCTGGTGCCTCTTCCTTCCACTCTGACCCCACGGAGGCCAGGCTTTCCACGGCTGTTAGGCAACCAGAAAATCAGAGGAGCCTCTTCAACTATCTTCTTAATAGTAGCATGTTAATATTTTTAAGTGTTTTAAGATCTCATTTGGAAAACTGCTGTTCTCATATAATAAGAAAAGACAGTGATTTTCTTATGGTGAGTCATTTATTGTAAGATAATTTACAAATATCTCGCTGTCTTTACTAATTTAAACAGTGGACCAACAATTTCTTCTGACAAGGACAGCAGTAAGCTAAAAACAAAATCAGCTGGCTGAATCTTCGTTACCTGAAAAATAAAAGTACAGAACAAATAAAGATGTCAAGATATAATACATATTTCGGTGCGACTTAAAGAACTGACTCTACATAATAAAATGCTACTCTACACCAGTGGTTCTCAAATTTTGGTCTGGTGACCCTTTCATGGGGTCCGTGAGGGCAAAACTATTTTTATAACAATGTTACTTGCCTATTTTATTCTCATTTTCAGGTGCACACGGTGGAGTTTTCCAGAGGCTATGCAACGTGTAATATCAGGACAGAATGAATACAGAAATGGAGAGAACTGAGCTATCCTCTGTGAAGTCAGATATCAAAGCGTTCTGAGACCAGAAAATTTGAGAACCACTGCTCCTCACCAGCCTGTATTTAATAACTCAAAAGCATGCTGATTCTTTTTTCTTTTTTTTTCTTTTTGCCTCACCACGAGCCATGTGGGATCCTAGTTCCCTGACCAGGGATCGAACCCGTGTCCCCCACAGTGGAAGCGTGGAGTCCCAACCACTGGACCACCAGAGAGGTCCCAAGAATGCTAATTCTTTATCCTTACAGTTTATTTAATATATCTAAGAAGAAAAAAAAAGCCCACTAACATCACCCACATACTCCCACCATCTGGCTGCTGCTCTAATGGCCTGGCCATCTCATCTCTCAGGGAATCAGTTTCACTGTTGCCGAATTACCTTCAGTTCTATCTGACCGGGTTTCTTTTCTGACGGGGTAGGGGAGAGTGTGTGAAATATTACCACTTTACCTCTTGTCTGAGGATGAAACTCGAATTTCATTAGTCCCTGGGTTATTATATTAGAAGAAAAAGACAAACACAAAACAAGCAGGTCAAGAAACAATCCATGCTGGTTAATCATTTACAATTTCTGACTAAGAAAGCCCACTTCCTCACTCACTACCTTGAGTATATCACATAATACTTACCAAAATATTCCCTTAAAACAGATTCAATGATTGTTACAAAAGGTCATAGACTTGAATCTGGTTAGAAGCAATAAAACTATGTTCATGCAAGTAGGCAGGACTATGAAAGCATACTTTAAACCACAACTTTTCTATAAACAGCATACAATACATTAAAAAATTTTAGGCTAGCAACTAAATATTTGGTACCTCAAATATTAGTTTATTCATGCCTTTTATATTATTACCAAAGAGCCAAATGTGTTTGCATTAAAGCCTTTAAGCAGAAGAGCTGACAGGTTACAGAGCATGCAAGTCCATTCATATAAATAATCCACCGTGGGGCTGCACAGCTAACTTGCAATAAAGGATTTAGACTGCCTTTCTAGAAAACGAAAACTAGTCAATTTCCAGTTATTTAAGTTCTTTTTAAAATTCTTGGTCTTCATATCCCAATCTCCCTCTCCTCATTTCTCTGGTTTTGCTACTTTTCAGCCAAGTCCCCGCATTCCTAATCAAGAAAGAGCCTGGTCCTCAATTCTGCAGAGGCTGTAGCCTCGGTCTATTCCGAGCATTCATTCCTCTTTTCCTGGCTCTCCACATTTCACAGCTCCCAGACCTTCAGAGCGCAGTCCAAACTTTCCCCCAGGCCTCTGCATGCACGCCACCCAAGAAGAAGTCAGCGTGGCTCCAGCAGTAGGAAGTACAGCAAGGAGGACACGAATAATACACTTATTTAATCCTTGTATTAGCCCCCATGTCATAGAAAACAACTGCGTTGCAGGGAGAGTATCTTAACCACGTCTATCAAGCTGGTAAGCGGCAGGGCCGCTCATCACTGCCTGGACTCTGATGTTAACAGAGCAGTAGTGACCAGGCTGAGAGATGGATTAGTCTTAAACTCACACTCCAAAGCAAAATAAGAGAAGGAAGGCTGCTGGATCCAACCAACACTTATAAAACTGTCTCAACCAGTTTATTTGTGTCTCTGGCATTCTGCCCATTTCTATCCTCCAGAGACAAAAGGACCAACTTAAATGTCATCGTAGTGATAAACCTTTCCCTGATTCTTAAACCTGGATTCACGTTTTCACATACTCAATAAAATGTTACTTCTCTCTCTGCTGAACTTCCAGGTCTTAATATATTTATGGCGGGCTTCCCTGGTGGTGCAGTGGTTAAGAATCCGCCTGCCAATGCAGGGGACAGGGGTTCAATCCTTGGCCTGGGAAGATCCCACATGCCGCGGAGCAACTAAGCCCATGCGCCACAACTACTGAGCCTGCACTCTAGAGCCCACGTTCCGCAACAAGTGAAGCCACGACACTGAGAAGCCCGTGCACCGCAACGAAGAGTAGCCCCCGCTCACCGCAACTAGAGAAAGCCCGTGCACAGCAACAAAGACCCAACACAGCCAAAAATAAAAACAAATAAATATATTTTAAAAAATGTATATATTCATGGCACGTCATTCATTCACTCTACAAATATTTACTGAGGAAGTATGTGCCAGGTGATGGGGCTATAAGACTGAACGAGACACTCCCTGTCCCAAGCCGCAGGAGGACAGACAAACAAAAGGGCAATTCCTAGTAAAACAGTGTAAGTGCTATGATGAAGGAAGCACAGGAGGCTGCCCCACTCAAACCAGGAAGGGGGGATTTCTGGAAGAAAGGATTACCCCAGCTCCGTTAGGAAGGATAAAAAGAGTCAGATGTACAATCAAGGGTGCAGGGGAAGGATGGCATTTCAGGGAAAAAAACATATGTGCCACTCAAAAAATACATTTTTTAATTTGGGAGAGAAATGACAAGGATCTGCGTGAAGAGGGCATAAAGGGGAAAGGGTCAAGGGATATTTAGAAGGTAAAATTTACAGAACTCGGTGACCAATTAGCAGGAGGTGAGAGAGAATGAGTCAAAGAAAACTTACGACACATTTTATCTTTCAGCATAATTATCTGCATTTTTTTCTTATCCTATTAGCACATAAATGCCTTGGAAGAAAGGATCACATCCTTCAACACCGTGCCTAGCACTGTATGAGGCATATAATGGGTGTTCAATTTAATAATTTTTAAAACAGAATTCCCATTATCGTAACCGTGGTTTCACAAGCATTAACATATCTAGCTAGACAACCAAGACATTTTCTTGAGGAAAGCGGTATTTTAAGAACTCCTTATAAGACAGTACTGATACAGAAAACTTAATTTAAAAATTCCTGGACCCAACTACCATTCAATGATCTGCAGATTTATATAAAACCAAACCCCAAACCAGTCCTGTAACTCAGAAAGCCTGATTTATAATATTTTAAGTTTCAAAGACAGATTTTATAAATGATACTGAATATTTATCATTCAGTATAAATGATACTGAATTATTCACGTCCTTATTCCTAAAACTTGAAGAGAGTGAAAGCTAGCAATGTACTAATTTCTAAAAAGAAGAAACTAAGCCTGAATATTTCAGCTGAAACAATCAAAATACACCAGAGATCTCATTTTCATCAAACTTTATGTTCTACGATTAAGGAAACAAGATAAGCAATGGATCATTTCATCGTTAACAGACAAAACAAAACAGAAAACTTAAACATGCAAAGGCTAAACTAGCAGGCACAGATGAGACACGGAGTCTGAGGGTGACGCACAGTTACTTACAGAGCCGCAGCACCGGAGATGATTTCAATCAGCTCCTTGGTGATGACAGCTTGGCGGGTGCGATTGAACGTCAAAGTCAATTTGTCAATCATCTCAGCTACAAACAGAACAAAAGACAACAAGATCTAAAACTAGAAAAGAATACCTTTTTCACTAACTCATTTATAGACGTGTGTTGCTTAATTCAAAAATAAGATTCTGTTTCCTTTTGGGTACCCAAACTGGCCACTCAAAAAATTTTATGAAGGTAGTTTTGTTTCTTCCACGAGATACCTTTTCAAAGTACCTGCACACTTACTGCGTACCAAGTAAGATATTACTTCCTTTAAGGCAGAGAATATAATTTTTCTATCCTCACAGAATCGGTGGCAGAGCCCAGGACTAGACCCCAGCTCTCCTGCTTCCTGGTCCACTTCCAGAATCGCTAATGCCTTTTGACGTGAGGGTCTTCATGCTGCTTTCCGCAAGGGAATTCTCTCAGCGCTTACAAGCATTCTTGCTGGCATTGTCCATGGCCGTCATCCTGGCACTCTGCTCACTCGTGGTGGATTCCTTCAGAGAGTAGTAGATGATGTTGGCCAGGCTGTATTCTTGGTAATTCTGCAGCACGTCAGCATCAATATCATCATAGATACTCATGCTCTCTGTTAAGACAAGCCATGGATTTGTCTGAAGCGATACAGCACAAAGACTGATTTAATCAAGACAGCTTCCTGGTAGAAAAACTCTTTATAAAGTCAACGTAAGATTGGTTAAAGGACTCAGTTCTAAAATCTTCATCTATTTCCATACTATAGATAATAGATTTTCAGCAAAATATGATGTGTAAACAAAGCATTTGATATTCTACTTCAAATGCTTAACTTCATAAAACTTAAGAAGTCCACATTTAAAGTAACAGCACCACATTTCACGGATACAAATCCTTTGGATGGTATCTAGCAGCGTGCTGGGCACGAAGCCACCCAACAGTCAGTGACTGCGTTTTTCAATAAAGAAATTAAGGAAAGAACTGAGACTCGTATAGTGTAATATAAAAATCCCATTTCAGCCATTTGATTATTGGGGAAATCTGAAAGTTTCAGGAAAATACGGGAGGGAAAGCTTTTCTGAGAATGTGGAAGAGAGGAAGAGTTAAGAGGCTGCTGTGCATTTTAGTAATTAGGCAGTGGAAACGTAGCAGCAGACTTGAAAATTCACTCATTAGTGTAAAGTGCTGAGACAGTACTGGATTTCATCAAATTTAAGATGCGGTGGATTATAACTCCTATTTTATGTACCATGAAGAAAGAAAATAACATAGCCAATTGAAAATGACATGCCATTGACTGGTAGAAGCATCCCAATTTCTAAGACGTTAAAATGTAAACGTGATAGGGACTTCCCTGGTGGCGCAGTGGTTAAGAATCCACCTGCCAAGGCAGGGGACACGGGTTCGAGCCCTGGTCCGGGAAGATCCCACATGCCGCGGAGCAACTAAGCCAGTGCGCCACAACTACTGAGCCTGCGCTCTAGAGCCCATGAGCCACAGCTACTGAGCCCATGCACCGCAACTACTGAAACCCGTGCGCCTAGAGCCCATGCTCCGCAGCAAGAGAAGCCACCGCAATGAGAAGCCTGCGCACTGCAACGAAGTGTAGCTGCTGCCTGCCTCAACTAGAGAAAGCCCACTTGCAGCAATGAAGACCCAACACAGCCAAAAAATAAATACATTTATTTAAAAAAAAAATGTAAAAGTTATACACCTATTACAGGAGAAATCTAATATACAGAAAGGGAAAATAAAATCAGTTCCTGTGTATTATTTCCAGGACGCATCACTGAGCAATGATCACTTTGTTTAAACAGCAAAACAAGAGAACTGAGTTGTTCAATGTATATTAGTTGTGAATAGCGTTCAAATCTCTATTCTAGAGCGTCTGTTTTGTGGTTAGGGAGGGCTCCCACACACAGATTGCAAAGCCAACAGATCATTCTAGCTTAGTTCTTCAACCTCCAAGGACAGAAATCATATCTAACGATGGCCTTCAATGGATATTTATTTATTAAATTAATGAAAGAATGCAGTAAGAGTTGTCAAACAATAAATGTTTATGATTTCATGGAAGCCACTAATAGATGGTGATAAACAGCCCAACGTCATTTTTGTTACTGCTGAAAAAAAGCCACCCTGACAATCACTGTTTTCCTAAACGTACAAATCTCTCCTTTCTATAGGAAAAATACTTGTCATACAAAACCTACTTACCAGCACTTGCAATGGTACCAAGGGAAAAGATGGGCTTTTCTTCTGTCTTGTAGGAGATGACAGACCTAGAAACGGCAAAGCAAATGTAAATTCCAAAAGTATAATTTTAAACTGTTAAGTAGACATTTACTTAATTGAAAAATCTGAACATAAACATAAAAAAGCTTAGATTTCAACATTTTTCTTGCCTGAATCGGTTAAAGATGATAGACCCTTCATCAAATTCATATCCAGAATTTAACAGTTCAAGGGCAATGACCGACGCATCCCCAAAGGTAGGGGGCCTTCTCCCCACTTCTTTGAATGTCACCAGAAACTGGTTAGAATGAGTCCTACAAGAAAATGAAGAGGTCACATAAAATAGTTTAACAGAATACTTCTGCTGAAAGAACAGAGAACAAGGAAAAAACACGCTCACTATGGATCAAGCTTTTTTGAGGGGGGCGGGGGGTGTTCACTGAATTAAGGCGCCCCTGCATTATCGTGATTGTCCCTTTCCTTCAGCACCTGCCAAGAACTAAGGACTAACACCAGGCCCTTCCTGTCTTGCATTTCTCTCTGCCTTTACTTCTCGCCTTCCAGCCCTAATCAGCTGTCATGCATTTCTGGCATTTCCCGGCTGTGAGAGCTCCTTAGGGTCCTCGTTAAAAAAAAAACTGAAAAACGTCCCCCAAAACAAAAACCCATAGCTTCTGATATTCCTACTGTATTCCATTTATGGTCTGGAAGAAGGAAAAACAAAAGATAAATAGAAAACAGGGGAAATCTATCCATTCTACTATACTCTGGAAAAAAATTCAAAAAAAAACAAAACCTCTGTGTATAAAATGGTAACCAAAAAAAGACACCTTGCTTAAATAGACCATCAAAGAAACTTCCCTTTATTCATTCTCGCAGCCTTTTAAACATAAACAATATATACTTAAATTACCTGTGAAGTATACTCCTGAGTTTATCACCAACTCCAACAATCTTAACTTCTTTCCCAGCTGCTGTGAGATTGGCCACCTCACTCTTTAAGTGTTTAGCAATCGAGGAATGAATAGCACCACAAAGCCCTCGGTCTGAGGACACACCGATAAGGAGATGTTTCTTCTTGTCTTCAGGCACCTTAATATCAGCCTTTTCATATAGAGCTTAAAAAAAACAATGTATGTGTAATTACACTACGTACAGCAATAACCCTAATTTACAAAATGATGCCTCAATATAATCAAGTGTCTGTGCACGTATTTCATTTACAATCAGGCTAAAAACCATAAAGGTTTAAATCTCTATTAAGACAGAGGTTCCTAAGGGCCAAATTATCTTAAGTACTGACTAAAAGAAATCGCTAGCACAATTAAAGAACTTGTAAAAAGGCCAGACTTATAGAAGTACCAACTTCTCTAGACTTGCCAAATTTCTAAAGAGCACAGATCTTCAGTGTACAACCAAAAGAGCAGAAAACAAATATTTACTGAAATGCTCATATAATCTACATAGCAAGCTTTTATGAAAACTGCTGACATTAAAATGATGGATGCCATTTTATTTTCTATTTATTTATTTTTGCTGGGCTGCGTGGCTTGCAGGACCAGGGATCAAACCCGTGTCCCCTGCAGTGGAAGCGCAGAGTCCTAACCACTGGACCGCCAGGGAAGTCCCTCAGCAGCTGTGCTCACTCTAGTTACAAAGTGCATCTTCATGGCCGCCACATTCCCCACTTCAACAACATTCCTGCTATGGCCTTTCTCAGTATGGAGCAGTGATTCTCAATTTCAATACCTGAGGACCCTCCATAAAAAGCAGAGAGAGGTAAATACTCAACTCCAAAGTTTAGGGAAGTGGAGAAAATATTCCTTTTCAGTCTCTTTATATGTTTTACATTGTACAGCATAAAATGTCTATTTAAAGTTCTTAAATATTTTAAATGATTAGCCATTTAATATCTAGCAGTTAGTATTTTTTTAGTTTGAAGGACTTAGAAGCTGAATGGCAGCCTTGACTTGAATTTTTAATATCACACCACAAATACTATAATTAGATATGAGTCAATTTCCTTATTTGATAGCTTTGTGGTTATAGAGTTTTGAGGGGAAACAAATTTATTACACTTATTCATTTCAGCATGAAAGGTGAACAGTGAATGACTTTCACCTTTTCATAGAAATAGGCTAGAGTAATTTATCAACCTCTACCGGGCCGCTAACTAGGTGCTCAGTATTATGCTGGTTATAGAACAGGACTCAGGAGAGCAAACGGCTGGGGTTGTTAATGATTGCTAACCCTAACGTAGCAAGTCTCCATTATGCCTCCTAGGAAAAGCTGAATATGGCTGGGTTTTTTTTTTTGGCTGCACCACACAGCCTGCAGGATCTTAGTTCCGCAACCAGGGATCTAACCCGAACCCTGGCAATAAGAGTGCCAAGTCCTAACCACTGGACCGCCAGCAAATTCCCTAAATATGGCATTTTTAAAGCAAGGAGGCATTTCCACTGAAGCCTAGCGCCCTATCGTTTTCTCATACAGAAGTTTCTTTAGAGCATGCTTAAAAAAAAGCATGCTAGGGCTTCCCTGGTGGCGCAGTGGTTAAGAATCTGCCTGCCAATGCAGGGGACATGGGTTTGAGCCCTGGTTCGGGAAGATCCCACATGCTGCAGAGCAACTAAGCCCGTGTGCCACAACTACTGAGCTTGCGCTCCAGAGCCTGTGAGCCACAACTACTGAAGCCCACGCGCCTAGAGCCCATGCTCCACAACAAGAGAAGCCCGCACACTGCAACAAAGAGTAGCCCCTGCTCGCTGCAACTAGAGAAAGCCCACGCGCAGCAACAAAAACCCAATGCAGCCAAAAATAAACATAAATAAAATAAATAAATTTATATATAAAAAAACTGATTGGACTACCCTGGTAGCGCAGTGGTTAAGAATCTGCCTGCCAATGCAGGGGGACACAGATTTGAGCCCTGGTCCGGGAAGATCCCACATGCCACGGAGCAACTAAGCCCGTGTGCCTCACTACTGAGCCTGCACTCTAGAGCCTGCGAGCCACAACTACTGAGTCTGTGTGCCGCAACTACCAAAGGCTGCGTGCTTAGAGCCCATGCTTCCCAACAAGAGAAGCCACCGCAATTAGAAGCCCGCGCGCAGCAACGAAGACCCAATGGAGCCAAAAAAAAAAAAAAACAACAAAAACACCGATTAAAAAAAGCATGCTAAAAATGCATGCTTAAAAAATATGAAGAGCACAAGAAAACTACTGCACAAGGTATATGTAATACATAGAGGCATTAACACACAGATGATACAGATACATCTTTTCTTCAATTTGGAAATAAGCAAATTTCTCCCTCTTTACAGTTGATGTTTAAACATTCCGCTCATGTACTCAGTCATATCCATGACTACCCAGTCACCTTCCACTGCAGGGCACCCCCTCCCCACCCTGCAGTCCTAAAAGATCACATCACAGTGTAACAGGAAGAAATCAAGCATTCGAGTCTAATGCACTAAACTTCCGAGTTCTTTTGATGGTGTATTTAATAATCTAGGAAAATTTTCAGAATATCTTAAAAGTGAACATGATCACATACAGTGGTTAACAAATAGAGAGGCTCAGATGCCAAGTCACAGAGGTGTAGTTATGACTGCACTGGGCTTCAGTTTTTCCTATCTGCAAAGCAGGAGCTCTGACGGTCCCCACCCGCACAGGGCTGCTGTGATAGATGGGGGCCTGGAAGTACTCAGGACAGATGAGTCCTGAACAGTCATCTCTAGGTTAAACGGTACTTCGTAATTTGTGACTGCACTCTCCTCTTACCCAAGGATCCTATTCCATACACTCGGGCTGGTTTCAGCTCCCTCTCAGCTCGGGCATATTTCGCTGCTGCTACCATTTTCATAGACTTGGTAATTTTCTGGATGTTTTTGATTGATTTTAGTCGCCTGGTAACTGAAAAATAGAAGTGCTGTGTTAAGATAAAGGAGTTACCATTTCATTTGTGAATTTATCGAAATATTTTCCTAAACTTCAAGGTAGAATAATTAGCAGTTAGACCTTCAATTAATAGCAGCTGCTAAACTAGGCTTAATGTTAGAGTACCAATAACTCAGACCTTGTGCTACCTGGAGAGGACAAGCAAAACGGCAACATAATAGTATCAATAAATTATGTATTTAAAACTAAATGGTACTGAAAATGGCCTTTTGCCACATATTCCGTAACATTTTATACACACACACAGTAGTTTTTTCTAGTTATATCATTATCATTCTACAGACAACAGAATCAACAACCATGTGTCACCTCACATGGGTCTTTTCCAAAACAAGTTCAATGCCGCACAGGGATGACATAGATTCACTGTGTCCATTTTGACCAAATACGTAAATGGGCTAAAGCAGCACATTTTTATTTGTCAAAGTTTAGTTTTTCTTAATTCACATATTGTGATAAAGTACTTACTATCTTTCAAGGTTGCCATATTTCGAACTTGGATCCTGAGAATAAAGGTGGTAAAAAACATTTTAGTTTTTTGAAAAATAGCTCAAAGAAAAACTTTCAAAGTTGATAAACTGATTTAAAGTGTATCCCATAAAGAAATGATCTATGACTCTGAATGTGTGTGTGTATACATAAATACCTCAATACTGATACCAAACCCTACATCATCAAAGATCTCATTCTAGGGCTTCCCTGGTGGCGCAGTGGTTGAGAGTCCGCCTGCCGATGCAGGGGACATGGGTTCGTGCCCCGGTCCGGGAAGATCCCACATGCCGTGGAGCGGCTAGGCCCGTGAGCCATGGCTGCTGAGCCTGCGCGTCCGGAGCCTGTGCTCTGCAACGGGAGAGGCCACAACAGTGAGAGGCCCAGGTACCGCCAAAAAAAAAAAAAAAAAAACAGATCTCATTCTATTTGATCTAACACAAAGCTTCCACTGAAGTCACAATGGCATTCACGCATGCTCTATTCCCACCCCTATGTCTTTGCCTATATTGTTGCTGACTTCCTCAGTTCACCGAAACCTTTTCAAATAACCCTTACGGTCAACTACACATTCTAACATGACCACATGTGTCAAAGTACAGTTTATTTAAACCAATTAACTTTTTCAACTCAATTCAGTAAGCTCTTTACTGAGCAGCTACTCTGCTCCAGGACATGGTGTCTGACCACAAGAAGCATACTATTATCTCATAAACAAGATTTATGCAAATTTAGATTTACATGAAATTTACATTAAATATTTTCTACAGTCTTTTAAAGTGCTGATGCATTAAAGTCAAAATGATATGACTTAAAAGTAATGTTGGTGAAAGATAAATTACAAGAGGATCCTCCTCTTACTGGTGAAGACATGTTATTGAATATACATTATCTTGTAGCTCGTAAGTCCATAAAGTACCTGTGTTGGCCTGGAAAGCTCCATGGGAGAAATGAAGAATCGATATATTTGTGCATAAAGGAGGGCCTAAGGAGGGCATTCCTAGGAACTGGATGTAGTTTTGAAGCTGGAGACATAGCTTGGGTTAATAAGTTTAAATATTATTTTATAGGTACTGGAAAAATGATGAATGTTTCTAAGCCCACAAATCAGTTTAGTTTTTCAGTAAGGTATCTCGGATGGCAGTGAAAAGCACAAAATGATACCAAATGTTGATGACATGGAGGCCAAACAAGGGGCTTCCAGACAAGAGAAGGCAAGCACCTGGACTGAGAGGTTGACAAAGCAACAGGAGACCAGATGTGAGAGCAAGCTGACCCAAAGGTTTCTAACTTAATGACCTAAATGAACACTGTTGTCATTTAACCAAGAGAGAAAAACTGGGTGGGGGAGATCTCCCTGGAGATAATGAAGTTTGAATTTGATGTAGTTTAAAAAACCATGCGACCAAGTGGAAATGTTAACCAGGTCTGGGAAACATATGAGGTATTGAGATTTGAGACAGATTTGTAACTATCAGTAGACATGGTAGTTGGTGCCAAAAAAAATAAAATTAAAAAAAAAAAGAAAAAGAAAGAGAATTAGAACGAGAAGCAGGGGGAATATGTCCTAATCCTATAAGGCCAGCATAACCCTAATACTAAAACCAGATAAAGACATTATATAAGAAATGAAATTTAGAGAACAATATCTCTCATGAACATAGATGCAAAAATCCTCAACAAAATATTAGCAAATGCAATCTAACCATGTATTAAAAACAATTATACACTACGACCAAGTGGGATTTATTCCAGGTATGTGAGGCTTGTTCATCATTCGAAATTCAAATATATAATCCACCACATCAACACACTAAAGAAGACAAATGGTATCATCAATAGATGCCGAAAAAGGATCTGACAAAATCAAATGCCGATTCACGATTAAAAACCTCTCAGCGGATTAGGAATAGAGGAGAACTTCCTCAACCTGATAAAGAACATCCATAAAAAAACCCCCCTAAGGTTTAATGGTTAGAAACTAGGAGCTTTCCCCCTAAGACTGGGAACAAGACAAGGATGCCCTGTCTCACCACCCCTACTCAACATTGTACTGAAGTCCTAATTAATGCAGTAAGACAAAAAGGGAAACAACACGTATACAGGTTGGGAGGGAAGAAATAAAGCTGTCTTTGTTCATAGATGACATGATCAACTACATAGAAAATCCCAAAGAATGGCCAAAAATTAAAAAAAAAACTGACAATACCAATGACAGCAAGAATGTGGGGTAACAGGAACTCTCACTGATCACCAGTGGTTATACAAAATGGTATGGCTACTTTGGAAGATGGTTTGGCAGCTTCTTACAAATCTAAACATAGTTTAAACATATGATTCAGCAATCATACCCCTAGATACCTACCCAATTGAGCTGAAAACTTTTATCTACATGACAACCTGCATTCACATTCCTATAGCAGCTTTATTCATAACTTCCAAAAACTGGAAGGAATCAAGATGTCCTTCAATACATGAATGAATGGACAGACAGACAGGTGCATCCATACAGTTGGAGCAGTATTAAGCAATAAAAATAAATGAGCCATCAAGCCACAAAAAGACATGGAGGAACCTTAATTGCATATCGCTAAGTGAAAGAAACCAATCTGAAAAGGCTACATACTGTATGATTCCAATTATAAGACATTCCAGAACTGAAAAAACTATAGCAACAATAAAAATATCAGTGGTTGCCAGGATTTAGGGAGAGATTTTTAGGGCAGTGAAACTATTCTGCATGGTATTGTAATGGAAGACACATGTCACTATGCATTTGTCAAAACCCACAGAAGTGTACAACAAAACGAGTGTCCTTAATGAAACTATGCACCTTAGTTAATAATGCATCAACACGGGTTCATTAATTGTAGTATACACTCCACACTAATGCAAGATGTTGATGACTGGGGAAAATGTCCAGAGTGGGGTGTGGGTATATGCAACTCTCTGTGCTACTCAATTTTTCTATAAATCTAAAACTGTACTAAAAACAGACTAAAAAAAAGTCTATAATAACTTAAAAATGCAGGCTATAAGATATGATGCCATTTTTGTGATTCTATGTGTTTATGTGCACAAAAGTAAGTCTGAAAGTTCATAACCAGAACAGTTATTTTTTAAAAATCTCTTGACTTATGTATCTTACTACTGGTATTACTCAGCCATGGAGAAAGAAAAATAAAGAAAATAAGAGGAAGGAGACTACCTGGAAAACATTAGGGGTTTGGTTTTAAGAGTGGATCCCCCAAAGGCAAAGATAAAAGCTGTCAAACATTGACAAGCTCTGCTAGTTTCAGAGGGCGGACTTAATCAACATAATGACCATCCCATGAACATTTTTTCATCATGGCACTTGAAAAGTAATATTTTGGGGATGATTTTCTTTTTTTGGAATAACTTATTTGCCCAGACATTCTAAATTTAGAGACTATAAAGCGTGACACTGGTCACTCTTTATAGATGGTCTTAGGCATGCACTCCAATTTAACTGACATAGGTTTCTAGTCAGAGCACATCATATGGAACAAAATCTGAACTGCATGCCATATCTGGATGAACACAGAATGTTCGGGTCTCCACACGTATCCCAAGTGAGAGGTATGCAGAAGATACAGGATCTTTTGTGATTCTTTCTGCTGTGCACCACCCTAATTTCCCCAATTTTGAAGCACTCTCATGTTTAGACTTCATTCAATTCTAAGCACATCTATCTGTGTTACAAAGTTATTTTTTAAGTACAATTTGAGTGCAAAATAACCACGAGCTGATCTGAACTCCCTCTGGCGACAGACTGCTCTACTGAATATACAGCTTTTGCAAATGAGAAGATAAAGGAAGTTCTGTGTCAGTTTTCTGTTCTGGAAAATTGCATCATGTCCTAAAAAATTCTCGGGAGATTATCTCAGAAACTAGAAACACATCAAATACAGCAGAGGGCAAATCGCACAGATAGATGGCGGACTACCATGATCTACTATGATCACACAGCAGGTTCGTGGGTGAACTATGTATCATTCAAAGAAATTACAGACAGCTTGAATGAATTTTAAGGAGTGTATAATGCTGAATAATATAAAAATTAAGGAAGAAGCAGCATCCACTAATTCCAAAGGAAAAGAAAATTATGAAGTATGTCTAATTCTAACACTGAATGCCTGGGTGAAAGTCCGACCCTGGCCTCTCCACCAAGCGACTCCCCAGAACTTTATCACCAACCGTGACACACAATTCAGTCTTGTTAGGCTTCTAACCTTCTCACATTACATTTTATGTAGAACGTGTATGTATAAATTCGTTTTCATTTTTCAGCTGATACATCTGGATCCTCATAAGCATTTTTCCCACTGTCCTTGGTTCTTTACAAATACTGATTCACTTAATCCCCACACTAATCCAATGAATGGGGTACTAGCATTACCCCCATTTAACAGATGAGGAAATGGTACAGAGACACTGAGTAACTTGCCCAAGGCCACACTGCCAGGTGAGTGGTGGTCAGGATTCAAAGCCGGGCAGTTTGGCACCACTCCATCGGGTACACTACAGGCTGCTGCCTCACGTTTAAAAGTATGTATCTGCTATGTCAGCCTCAGATGATGGCCTCTCTTCTCTCTCCTGAAATGCCATCTCTCCCCCTTTTCAGTGTCCATAGTTCAACTTACGGCCTACTGGTTTCCTATTATAAAATAGTTCCATTTTAGACAATGTGGAACACTAGGAAATAGAAATGTATTTCCCCCTGATTTGAGATAGAAAAATCACTCTTTCCCACCCCCAAATTTCTTATTTCCATTTTCTTAAATACTACTTTAAAAAAAAGTTTAATTTCCAAAAATTTAGGGTATTTTACTGACACCCTGAACAATTAAAACAACTTCACTGTAAGTTTAATTAAGCCTAATGTTTAATGTTGGTAGGCTAACCTCCCTGAAACCAAAACTATAACAACAAATTGCATTTTAAAAAGCTTTCAATAACCAAAACACAACCAAGGAAATGCCTCTTTCTGGTTCTGCAAAGACAAAAGTATAACGTATTTCCCTTCCAAATTAATTCTGTGGCATGTGAAACATTAAGATGGCTTTAGTTTCTGAATTTAAAAGGCAATTATAGGGAGTGGAAGGGAAAAGGCAGAAGAAGCAGGAAAGACAGCAGGCATCTAGAGTGATGAAATGTATGAAAAGGAAGAGGACAGAGTATGCCTTGCAAGGTGGAAACTGACGTTTGATGAATATTCATAACCTAACAATTTAAAACTAACACTCCAAAGGGAGTAAGGTCAGGACTTCGACATTTATTTTCTGACTGAGGTTCCAGTTTAAGCCCCACCCGACACAGTAGTTGTCTCAGACCCAGCAAGCGCTTAAATGCTTCTTTACTGAAAGATCTTCAAAAGATCTTACAGGTATTTTAAAAGTTATTTTTACAATTTTATGTATTTTGTCATTTCAGAAACTGTCCATTTTTAAAGATCAACTTGGATAACAAAGTTCTAAAAATATTTACAGATAACATTAATGCACAGCAAGATGGGAAGGAAGGAAGGAAAGAGAGGTGATGTTTGCAGAGCACCACTGCATGTGAGGAACTATCCCACAACGCTTACCAGGATCATGTCGATTTGTTCACCACGTTTTAGCACTTTCCACAGTGCCAACTTGGCGTAGGGCAAGCACCCAACAAATGTGCGCTGAGTGATTGAGAAATGGGACAACCTATACCAGTGAGAATCCAACTAAGGTGACTTCTTACTTCCCATGAATACTCTTTCAATATTAGGAGAAAGAAACTCTGAATTCCAAGGCAAATCCACTAACATTTGTATGTAGGTTTTTCACATTAGATTTAATTACTTCATTAAGCTGAAAATCTTTTATTGTTATAAATTTTTTGCTTAATGAACACATCCCTATTTTAATTAATGCTTTATAGTCCCTTCTCATAAATTAGGTACAAAAATCTAGTTTAGTGGGGTGGCTCCTTAGAATTCTCCTTTACTGTAAAACCGGGGAAATGCTACAGTCTATAGCTAACCCTTTAGCACTGTATCTGAAATTCTTCCAGACTCTGTCTAGCTTCATCACATCTCATCCTATTACAGGGTACCATACAAACCAACGTTTGTCTGCCTATTCCTAGGCCTTCTAAGATGCTTTTTATGGGGGGTGGGGGGAAACCAATGTTTAAAATCCCTAAAACTTGCATGGCAATGAACAGATGACGCACAGAAGTCCATCCATCTCCTCCTCCTCGGGGCATTGGGACGATATCATGACCTTGCAGGATTACTGATTCAGCACAACAGTTTCGAGATAGTGCAAGGTCTCTTCCGCTTCCTCGCCAACAGATATTTAAGGTCCCCTTTGCAACCCACGAGGGTATTTATTTTATTCACTTGGGTCCAGCAAACCGCCTGCTGCAAGGTCGCTGCTTATTTCGCGCTGTGCGTTACTGCGCTCTGCACCGGAGAGTTTCAAAAGGCGTCAAGGACAAAAAGCACACCTTAACCTTCCGCGGGACCTTCCCTGGGGCCCTCCCCTCCCCCACTTTGAGGGCCCGGGTAAGGCCTCCCAGAGGCTCGCCGCCTGGCGCGCAGCGAAGGCTCCGTAAGCATTTACTTAGTAGCTGAGGGGATCCAAGACTGCCCTCAAATTAACTGGGCCCAAGGCCCCACTCTCGAGGTCCCAGATGAGCACTTCTCGTGGCCCTCACCCCGCCCCAGCCCGCCTCCGGAGACGTGGCGCGCCCTTCCCGGTTCCGAGCGCTTCCTGCAGCCCGGGCTCCGGGGCCTCTGCGGCACCCGGGCCTGGCCGGCCCTGCGACCCCGGGTCCGTCCCACTCGCCTCGACCCGCTTCCCCTGCCCCCTGCCTGAGCCCCTCCATCCGCCGTAACCCTCCCGTTCCCACCGCGAGCTGCCATACCATTGCGGCTGCACGGCCCAAGCCGACAGCCCTGCTAGGCCCGCCGGAGAAAACATGGTGATTCCGGCCCTGCTGAAGGTCGGTCAGACAGGCCTCACCGCGCCTGCGCGGAAGCTGCCCCACACGCCCCGCCCACCCCGTGGTCTCATTCAGTCTCGCTTCTTCTCGCAGGATGGAACGAAGCCTCGCGAGCGTTGGGGGTGGTGGTGCCCAGGCTTCCGAAGCCCCACCTCCTTCAGACTAGCAGAGGATATTTGTCCTGCCCACCCCCGCCAGCCCTGTTCCGCTTCCGGTCAACCAGGCGCTGGTCTGGGGGAACTTGTTGCTGCGGAGGGCGCGATGGGGAAATCAGATTTTCTTACCCCTAAGGCCATCGCCAACAGAATCAAGTCCAAGGGGCTTCAGAAGTTGCGCTGGTATTGCCAGATGTGCCAGAAGCAGTGCCGGGACGAGGTAAGCGGGCCCGGGGCGACCCCGTGTCCACCCCCTCCTCTCCCCGGAGGGACCCCGCTGGAGATGCAGCCTGAGGTCCCCGACGCCGGGGTGAGGGCCTGGGTCTCCCGTCCCTAGTCGTGGGGGCTGCGCAGGGTGAGTCAAGGACTCAACTCAGTAGGACCGTCCTTCCCTTCAGCCCCCGTCCTGGCAGAGAACCAGTGGCCTTTGACACCTCCTTGTTCCCCAGTCTAACCCCAAAAAAGAAGTGAAGTAAGAAAAGGTTTTGCAGCCCTCGGAGAAGTGACCCCACTCAAGTCAAGAAACGGGGGGTGAACAGTGCCGAGCCGGACGCCCGGGAGTGATAGTAACAGACGTCTCTGACTTGCCGTGGCTCTTAGACATGATCAGGGTGTACACCTCTTTTCGGGATCAGATGAAAAAGGAGAACTAAGCTCTTGCACACTAGTCACCTAACAAGCATTTATCGAGCACCTGCCATGTGCCAGGACCAGGATGTTATTGCGGGTGAGATGTGGCCTCTGGAGTCAGAATCAGAATTAGGAAGCCGACAAGTCACATTGTCTCTGCCTGTTTACTTATCTGAAAAGTGAGAATAGTAAGTGTCCCTACTTGTAAGATTGTTGTGAGTTTTAAATGAGTGAATTATGTGTAAGGTGGCTCAAGGGGTCTTTGAGCAGATCTTGAAAAAACTTTGCTGTGCTGTGGAGTTTACACTTTTCCCCATTATTTAGATGGATGATGAAGCACCTGGAAAAATTGAGAGCAGGCTAGTGACAGGATCACGTTTTTCTCTGGAGATTGAATTGGGTAGGAAAGGAAGAGCACTGGGCACTTGGAATAATCTAATCCAGTGTTTCTGCAAGTGAGGGATGAGATACTTTAGGTGGGCCTCACGTTGAATAACATTGATACAGTTATTCTCTTTCATTTCTCTTTACTACTAGTCAAGGTAAAATTCTTACACAGAAAACTAGAGACTAGTACAGGGAACATCCCTATATCCACTACCCAGATTTAATGCTTTAAGTTTCACTTAACATTTTAAATACTTTGCCATGTTTCCTTTTCTCTGAAATATGTAAAGTAAATTACAAGCATCAGGGTATTTCACCTATAAATATTTAAATATGCTCCTCTAAAATATTAGGATATTTTTCTATACAGCCACAATATATGTCATCACACGTAACAAAATTAATAAATATTTCTTCATATCATCTGGTGCATACTCCATAGTCACATTTTCTCAATTGTTCCCATAAATGCTTTTTAAAACAGTTTTTTTAGCATGGGGAACTATATTCAATATCCTGTGATAAACCATAATGGAAAAGAATATGAAAAAGAATTATATATGTATGTATGTATATATATAAAAAACTGAATCACTTTGCCGTACAGCAGGAATTAACACAACATTGTAAATCAACTATACCTGAATAAAATAAAGTAAAAACAAAAACAAACAAACCCAGATCCAGTCAAAAGCTATACATTGGATTTGGTTATTTGAACTTTTTAAAAAATAGACTATTTTTTAGAGCAGTTTCAGGTTCACAGCAAAAATGAGCAGAAGGTACAGAGATTTCTCGTACCCACCCTGCCCTCAACATGTACAGCCTCCCCAACCATCAACCTGGTGCAACAGAATGGTACTTTTGTTACAGTCAATAACACTACATTGGCACATCATTAGCACCAAAGTCCATAGTTTGTATTAAGGTTCACTCTTGGTGTTGAACATTCTGTGGCTTTGGACAAATGTATCGTGACAAATATCCACCATTATAGTATCATACAGAATAGTTGCATTGCCCTAAAAATCTCTGTGGTGTCGGATGTTAGGACTTTTAATTCTCTCTCAATTTTAAATTTAAAATAGAATTCCCTCCCTTCCCCTCTGTTGTTTTTCTTGACATTGACTTGAAGAGGCTAGGCCAGTAATGATCCTAGAGGATTTCCCCTTTAACAATTAACTTTTCTTGTGGTTGTCGTTCGTCTTCTTTCTCTAACTCTTGTAATTTTTGTAAACTGGAACTTAGGTCTGAAGGCTTGTTAGGGTCAGGTTAAATATTTGGGAGCAGAATCCTTGATAGGTGACCCTGTGTATATCACATTGCATCAAATAAGAAAGCCCATGATGTCTGGGAGTGCTAAGAAAATTGAGTACAGTTGACAGCCTGTAAAGTAATGTTGGAAAGTAATATTTTCCCCTTTGCAAGAGCAAGTAACTATGGGGGAACTGGTAACAAATACTAGTGGAGTGTGGAATCGTGCCTATAGCTCCAATTTCCCATCAGCCTTTTACTCATGTGTTTTAACATCTTTGCTTGAGTCACTTATTTCATTAGAAGTTGAAAAGTGGTTATTTTTCTAGTTCTTTTTACATTTATTGTTGACCACCATTCTTTTGAAAAAATGAGCTTTTTCTCATTAACTAGGGCTATTTGGTTATCCTCAAATGTTATCCTAAAATAAAATTCCTCAGGGAAAGAGAAGACACGTTTGATTCTCTCTTTTAATTACTACTTTTCAGAGTAAGACACTTGGGGTGATTCTGACCTGTTTGCCCTCACATCTGTTCATTGCCCTTCCCTGCCTAGGGGAGGAGAAGCTGACCCCTACAAGCCCCCTCCCCTGTCTCTGTCTCTAATACCGGAAGAATGAGGGGGAGGGAGGTCAGATCTGGAGTATTCCCCTCCTGCCCATCCACTCCCTTGAGTTTCTAGAATTTAATAACATTATTTTGCTTTCATCTTACTGATTTATTTGTAATTTATGGGAAGTGGTGCTGGTTTTTCGTTTATGAGACTGATATCAAATCTCCTTTTAAGACGCAGTTAAGGAAGAGTAGTGCATAGGTAGGACACAGAAGAGGCAAGAATTGTGTAGGCATCTGTGGATGACTGAAGATTAGGAAACCGCTCTAAGCAAGCTGACCCCTACAAGCCCCCTCCCCTGTCTCTGTCTCTAATACCGGAAGAATGAGGGGGAGGGAGGTCAGATCTGGAGTATTCCCCTCCTGCCCATCCACTCCCTTGAGTTTCTAGAATTTAATAACATTATTTTGCTTTCATCTTACTGATTTATTTGTAATTTATGGGAAGTGGTGCTGGTTTTTCGTTTATGAGACTGATATCGAATCTCCTTTTAAGACGCAGTTAAGGAAGAGTAGTGCATAGGTAGGACACAGAAGAGGCAAGAATTGTGTAGGCATCTGTGGATGACTGAAGATTAGGAAACCGCTCTAAGCAAGATTGAGTGTTGAAATCAGGGCAGTGGCAATGGGATTGAGCCGAGGGACTGGGTAAGTTATTAGGTCGGCGGAGTAGACGTAGTGCTGAGTGGAGGTAGAGGACTCTGGGATGCTGTCCTGGGTCCTGGCCGGGTGACGGTACAGGACAGTGCTGTTCACCAAGATGGGGGAGACAGAGGAGAGGCACATTTTTCATTTCTCTTACTAGTGGAGAATCAGGTTCAAATGTTAAGTAGAATAGACACAAAGTCAAAACTTGCATGTTTTTTACAATCATCTGAAGAAGATACAGATTTAGTATGATAAAATAAGGTTTATGTATAAAATGCAAGTGTATTTTGGGTAATGAGCTAAAGTATAGGAAAGTGGGTGAAAATAGTTTCCTTAATGGAAATTCACTAATGACCCGTTTTACCTTGTTGTAGTCCTCGAAACGCTTGCGTAACACTTTGTATGAAGTAGGTGCCCAATAGGAATTTGTTAAATTGAGTCAAAAAATAAAATCGCTCTTCTGTTACTGTGCCCTATAATGTTTGTTACTAATGTCTGTTTTCTAAAGCAGTATTTTTCTGTCTCTTTAATCTTCTGGGATTCTTTGATTAGCAGGGTTGCAAAACTCAACTTTATAAAAAAAATTTTTTAGAACGATAGGGTGCCTACAGCCAGTGACTTGATTATTTTTTACAATTTATCATCGAAGAGCAGCTTGTTAGGATTTAATTAAATACTTATATTTAGGGCCTATTATAATGAGCTAAATCAAGATTTAACCACTACCTTTACATTTTTGTAGAATGGCTTTAAGTGTCATTGTATGTCCGAATCTCATCAGAGACAACTACTGCTGGCTTCAGAAAATCCTCAGCAGTTTATGGATTATTTTTCAGAGTAAGTAACTCAAAGCCATCCTTATATCATAAGCTTTATTCAGTTGGACATTTAATAGATGCTTAATATTTAATATATTGGGAGCTCTGTTTATTCCTTACATATTAATGTGATAGCTGTATTATCTTTGTGCTCAGTTTTTGTTTTGACAGTTTATCATTGTATGGAATTGTTAAAAAAGTATGTCTCACAAATCAGTCTTTCTTCCATTCACTACAAACATGAAAAACCATTGCTCAGTCTAAAACAATTGTGGCTAAGAGCACAGGTCTGGAGTCAGACTGCTTGTCATTAAGTCCTTCAGAGCTGGGCTTCTCCACTCAGGAGCTGTGTGACTTTGGGTGAACTTATACAGTTTCTCTGTGCTTTAGTCCCCTCATCTGTAGGTTTTGTACCTTTCAGGTATTGTCTTTCCTTCATAGGGTTTATGCGAAGATTAAATGAGTTAATACTTTGAAAGTGTTTAGAAGAGTGGTCAGTACTCGATTAATATTAGCTGTTAATTATTATTATTACAATTAATATTTAGTCTTGCCTCCATCCCTTTCTTTCTTTCCAGGGTTTTAGACCTTTTGGTATTAAACCCCAAAGACTTTTGTTTATGTGGGTTATAGCTTGTAAATTAGGGATTAAAACTGAGACATTAAAAAAAATTTATTCATTTAAAATCACAATATAAGCCTATTACAGTTAAAATAACATTTTTACATGAAAATTAACTATATTTTCCAACACACAAAAAGCACACAAAAAAATAAGAGTGGTGTTGTTTTACATTTTTGCAAATCTCTTCAGTGTCTGTCTTCATATAACACAGTTGTATTCTCACATCTGCTTCTACCTTCATTCTCTTCTGAAATGTTGCTTGGTTGAAATACTTAGAGAAAGTCCAGCTTTTACACAGATGTGTAGTTGGAAGTGGGGGGAGTATTTTAATAGCCTTTTCACATAATTTTGGCTATTCTTCTATGATACTACATTGAAACACAATGGCGTGGTAGTTTCTTAAAGATTAGTTGCAATGTGGAATCAGAAACCATATAGCAAACCTTTTTTTTTTTTTTTTTTGTGGTACGTGGGCCTCTCACTGTTGTGGCCTCTCCCGTTGACGGAGCACAGGCTCTGGACGCGCAGGCTCAGCGGCCGTGGCTCACGGGCCCAGCCGCTTCACGGCATGTGGGATCTTCCCGGACCAGGGCACGAACCCATGTCCCCTGCATTGGCAGGCGGACTCCCAACCATTGTGCCAGTAGGGAAGCCCCTAGCAAACCTTTTGTACTCTATGACATTAAAATCCATGTGATATTTTACTTTATGTGGATCTTGTACCCATGTATGGTTTTGTAACATCACACATCAGTCATTTGGAAAATATTGCTTCATTGAGTTACACAGGTATTCTGAAATTCTGAACGGTGATACATTTTATTATGCAATATCATAAAATCATATTCACTAACGTCAACTCAGTGCTGTCAGAAACATCTTTAAGTATTGGGAAGTATGTCAGACTCGTGGTGGACGCTAGTTTACCAGAATTCATATTTTTTGCTTGAAAGCTCAAATTTTATCATTGGCAACAAATACTGTCAGTTGTTTTTCTTGACCTGACAGGCTCACTTTGTTTATTTTTGAGAAAATATCTACTGAATACTTAATTTGAAATAACTATTGTCTATATGTCTGTCATTTCTCAAATATCAAGTGATGCTTTCATGTCTCTGTGCCAGATGGGAACAGCCTTCTCTTTCTCTTCACCTGTAAATGTCTTGGTCAGAATGTATATCTTATTCACCTATGTTTATCTGTCACTTAACACAGTGTGCTCAGCTCAGAGGGACACATTAAGTGCCAACTTCATGTTTTATTATCAATAGAATGGGATAATTATGCCACATTCAGTAGCACTGAGACTCCATGAAGAATCCGCTCCAAAGATGTGTGGTCACTTTTGCTGTGCCACCTTTACCAAGACAAAAAGTTCCAACTCCAACTTGACTTTTAACTTTAATTCTTAAAAGCTGTAAACTTTCAGGATTTTTCCCTTGTTCAGTTTTTAAAAGTTCGGAACAGATATTAACGTAGATGTTTTATATATCATGTGCTCATGCAAACTGTACGATGGCTTAAATTTCAGGAAGGTGATGCTATGTATTTGTAGAAATCACCTTAATGCTTTCCCTCCCTGCTTTATTAGGGAATTCCGAAATGACTTCCTAGAACTTCTCAGGAGACGCTTTGGTAAGTATCTTAAGTCTTGTGCACATAATGACTTTATAATCTCATAATCTGCCCAGGGTCAGCAGTGTCCTAATTTCTTCTTAGGAACCAAGAGGGTTCACAACAACATCGTTTACAATGAGTACATCAGCCACCGAGAGCATATCCACATGAACGCCACGCAGTGGGAGACGCTGACAGATTTTACTAAGTGGCTGGGCAGAGAAGGTAAGAACAAGACATGATGTGGACAGTTGTTATATGGCTGCACTGCAGGGAGGGAGAGAATGATCATATTTTCTGTGTAAATTTATGAAAAAGAGGATGAGCAGGGCAATTAGAAACTGGCGGAGAGGAGCATAATCTTCCAGGATTGATTTTGTGCACTGCAGGTGTGTAAGAGCGTCTGGAGTGATTCTTTCAACAGTGCAAAGGTACATCACTGAAGCATCCACTCGTTAGGTTAAGGACCAGTACCCGTCCTCTTCCACTTTTCCCACTACATTCGTTGCACTTCTGGAAGCTTTTGTTACCCCTTCTTAAGGCAGTTTTTAAATTTGCTGCCTCTTTTTCCATTTCTAATAGGATGGAAAGTTCAGGAAAAGAACAGAGAAAGAAATTTTGTATCAGGGTATTAGTTATTGAGTGTGTTTCTTTATTCCATTTTGGGGAAGATTTCTGCTTGGTTAAGTTAGAATATCCTGTACTCAGTGGATGTTAAGTACTTAGAGACAGTTGAATAATTGCTAGCAAGATAATGCTTTTTTTAATGTTTTCCTTGTTTAAATGTGTTGCCTCAACCTAGTCAAAAATCAAAATAATATTTCTTTTCTCTTTAAAGAGATAAAATATTCCAATTAAAGTCTAAATGTCACTAACTGTAAATATGGAAAATTCATGTGCTGTATGAATTTGTGTATTTGAATGTGTTTGAATGAGTGTATTTGAATGAATGAGTAAATACTGCAGAGAGAGACCACATTTATATGTACTTTCAGCTTTGATTGTATTCAAAATTATAGTGTCCGTTACTGTTTTTTTTTTTAAATCCATTACTTTTTTTAAGGCTTGTGCAAAGTGGACGAAACACCAAAAGGCTGGTATATTCAGTATATAGATAGGGACCCTGAGACGATCCGCCGGCAGCTGGAACTAGAGAAGAAGAAGAAGCAGGACCTTGATGATGAAGAAAAAACTGCCAAATTTATTCAAGAACAAGTGAGAAGAGGTCTGGAGGGGAGAGAGCAGGTGGGCATCATCAAGAGAGGCAATAGACAAAGGTCTGAAGAAGAAAAATCGCTTGTTTGTTTAAGCCTTGAACGAGTTTTGTAGGAGAAAGGGCATAGCCAAGTATAAAAGTCCAGGCTGTGGAGTTGAGACAAACCTGGGTCCATTCCTGACTTACTGACTTCACAAGTTTGTGTAATTATGGAATCTTCTAAACCTCAGTTTCCTCATCTCTAAAATAGAGTCAGTAGCTAGTGTCAAAGACATAAACAGAGCATTTCAACTGATTATAATTAATGCAGTGCTGGGAATGAACACAGTGTGTGAGAACACAGAGGCCTGGCACTTGCTCCAGCCTGGGGAGGACCTAGAATATTTGGAGGTAGCTACATCCCCTAGGCTGAGGAGTCTTGAGGAATTAATGGGTAAAATCCAGGTAGATGGGGAAGGGAAAGCATGATAAAGTTGGTTCAGGTGTTAGAATAACTAGATCAAGGCATTTATTCCAACAGACATTTATTGGTCACTTCCTGTGTGCCAGGCGTTCTTCTAGGCACTGGGGATACAGCCAGTGGACAAAAGATAAAAATCCCTGCCCTCAAGGAGCTTACATACTAGAAGTTGTGTGTGAGCAGGAAAATACAGCCTAGTGTGTATGTGAAACTACTAGCCATTTAGTATTTTTAAAAACTTTTTATTGTGGTGTAGCACACATGAAGTAAAGTGGATGATGTGCATTAATCTTAAGGTTACAGCTCGATGAACTTTCACATATGTATGTGTCTTTAGATGGATGGATGGATGGATCAATAGATAGGTAGTCCATGTGGCCACCACTCAGATCAAGATATGGAACATTTCTACTATCCTAGAAGGTTTCCTCATGCCCATTCCCAATTAATATTCCTTGTCCTCTAAGAAGAAAGCACTGTTCTGATATACTATTGGTTGTTGGTTAGTTTAGTCTGCCCTTGAACTTTGTAGGAATGGAATCATCCAGTTTGTTCTCTCTGTGTCTGGCTTCCTTAGCTCACCATAATGTTCTGTATGTGTAGTTCGTCTACATCCTTTCCTATCAGTGCTTCACTCTTTTTTGATTGATGTATTTCATTTTACGAATGTAATGCAATTTATTTATCCACTCTCCTGTTGAGAAGCATGTGGCTCGTTTCCAGTTTTTAGCTATTATGAGTACAGCTGCTCTGATCATTGTTGAGCACATGTTGTATAAGCTGTTGAGTACAGAGTGATGCAGGAAGCAGCAGGCGATGAGAAGTAAGACATCAGTGAGGATCACTTTGTCAATCAACTTTTGTGCCATGTTGATTGAACTCTTTGATAAGTGAGAGAGTGAATGTGTGTTACGTTACTTACATTAACATGCATATTGTCACACAATCTTTTAGAAGTTTTCTACATTAAATTAAAACAGGAACAGTGCTTCAAATGCTGTAAATGTGAAATTTAAACTCCTTAAGACTGAAAGCTTTTTATTCTCTTGCTTTTTAAAAATTTAAATCTTCATTTTCAATAGAGAAAATATTATAACTTCCTATCGTGGAAATCACGAAGGATTCACATCTTGTACTGAGGAAAGAGGTTTACTTTTTGGAATAACATTATTCTGTAACATTTTAGCTTAATATTGCTAAAACCTTCAAGTTACTTATACTTTTCAGGTGTAAACAGTATCTTTACCCAAAAAGCAGGGGAAATTCTATTGATCAGTGCTTCCTCATTCTACATTTAAACTTATCAATTTTTTCAAAGTAAGATCATGTTCTTTTGTGTTCTTTTGTGAAATCCTATATGGACATTACCTAACAAAATATTTTAGCTAGATCTCAAGGTCATCCTTCTTATTTATCAGTAGTAACAACAATTAACATTTATCAAACACTACGGCAGGCACTATGCTAAGTGTTTTATTTATATTATCCTAATTAACCCTTATCATAACTCTAAACATGTAGGTTATCCCTACTTTAAAGATGTAATGATTGAGCCTTCAGGGAGATGATGAGATTGACCGAGATGACAAGGCTCATAGGTGGCAGGGGAGGATTTTATACACAGTCTTCTTCGAGTTAGTCTTAGACCCTTGATCATTACACTAAAGCGTACTACAAAAGGGAAAGGTTTTGCTGTTTAAAGTAATCCTCTAGCTAAGATTCCTAGAATTTATTGCTTTATGTTGTTGTTTCCTGCTTAAATTGTAATAGAAATAAAAATGTAGGTAAACTTCTGCAGTTCGGTATAGAAAAGCTACTTTTTTCCCCCCGTAGAATAATTCTTTATTGGAGAATATTTGCAATACATATAATTTCTTAATTAGTATCTTAACCATTTTAGGTAGCAAGTCATAATTAAGGACTATTGAATATTGATGGTAAATGCAGTTGTGAACCAAACCTTCTAACTTTTTTTTTTAAAGGAAGTCCCTGTTTTTACGGAATTAAGCAGAGAAAATGATGAAGAAAAAGGTATTTTTACTTTTCTTTCTTCCTTTTTTAATATGGATGCTTTTGTATTGGCTCTGCCAAAAACTAGCAACATGTTTGGGAGCAAGAGGTGTTATCTGTCTGGATTATTCTCCTCAGTAAAATGAAAAGGCGATAACAATGAATTGGATGGAATGCCTACAGCAACAAGTAACCAGACTGAGTAAAATGAGCCTAAACAATAAGGAAATACCTTGCCATACCAAGAGTCCCAGAGGTAGGATGGTTCTGGATGCCACACTATCAGTAGCTGGACCCAAGGTGGCTGCCGGCAGTCCAGCCATCATATGCAGACCCAGTATTGTCCAGAGGAAGGCAGAGAGCATCTCCGTCCTTTGGAGTCCACTGTGAGCAAGGAAACTTTTCCTAGAAGACCTTCTTCCCACCAGCAGACTTCCTTTTGAATGTCATTGACCAGACTGTATCACATGTCCACCTCAAAAATAGTCACTTGGAAAGGGAGTGGAATTATTTTGATTGGTTCAGACCAAAGAGCCTTACTAATCACCTCCCATAGGTCCCACCCCCTAGTCCCATCACCTTGGGCATTAGGTTTTCAGCATTTGGATTTGGGAGGGGACACAAACCTTCAGACCGTAGCATCCTCCAAGCCATACGTGAGGGGTATGGACACCCAAACAAAATTGGATTCCTGTTACCAAGGGGAGAGGGGCAGTGGAGTGGGGAAGTGGCCAAGGCTGTCTGCTACATCACATGATGGTCTTTCCCAGCTCTGTAAGCATCAGTCCAGTATATTTTACAGGAGTTTATGATCTCTGGGTAGGAGCATTCCAGCTCTCATGTATTCAAAATGTCCATGAATTTCTACATAGCTGCATTGTGATATTTATTATAATTTTAATTATAATTTTGTTTTATTATATCTGATGTTTTATAGTAATTTTCCTGAAATATATATGGAATACCAATTCTTTTCTTCCAGTTACATTTAATTTGAATAAAGGAGCATGTAGTTCAGGAGGAGCATCTTCCAAATCAAGGTGAGCTATGTGAACAGGTATCTTAGAACCTGAAAATTTTGATGAAATGTTGATTACTACATTTTAAAAGGTGCAGAACTGTGAATTATTTTTTTCTGGTTTTTATTTTCATCTCTTTTTCCTTTTTGTTTAATGATTGTTTTGTTTTGTTTTATTTTCTTAGGAACTGGTTTTTTTCTATTTGCCTATGATGAGCTGATTATATCTTTTAAGGAAAAGCTCATTTTCATTAAATGCTTCACATGGTAAACATTAGCTTCTCCCTGAAAGCTTCTCCACTTAAAGGTTCTTTCTGTGCTATGGCAATACTATTGAGTTTTCTGTCATAGCCCACTATCAAGTTTGTTAACTGGAGTATGTTTTACCTGCTCTATTATGATTTTCTGAGAACAGACTAACTTATTCAACTATCTCCTTAGCACCTAGTAGAATATAAGTGCATTAGTAGACACTTAGTAATAATTGCCTTCCCTTCTAGATGGTGTGGTACTGAGCAAGACTTGACCAGGCTTTTCTATAAAGAGCCACATAGTAAATATTTTAGACTTTGTTGGCCATGTGTCTTTGTCATCACTTAACTCTGCTCTCAGAGCGAGGATGCAGCCATAGATGATACATAAGTGAATGAGCTTGGCTGTGTTCCAATAAAATCTTATTTATAAAAACAGGCAGCAGACTGGATCTGGCCCTCAACTGCAATTTTTCAAGCCCTGGTATGGCACGTAGTCAGGTATTTATATCTACTTTTCATGTTCTCTTCTCTTGCAGTTCTCATATATTCTTTCACCAAATATCTGTGCAGTACTTATGATGTGCATTGCATTCAGTTTGGTTATGGAGGTGAAAAGATAAATCAGACAGGATATTCAGAAGGGCACTTTATATTCAGTATCTACTGGAATTTAGTTTTAAGCTGGGTGATTTGCTCTTTTACTTAATATTCCACCTAACTCAGTTTTTTGTTGGTGGGAGTTTTTTTTCTTTTTGGTTTACAGGCTAGTGGTTATTTGCACGACTAAATAAGTGTCTAGGAGAATTGAAGGAAACGGGCAGTCTGAGTCAGCAGTGCCTAACTGCTTCAGGATGACTTGCCAACTGTCTTAACTTTGATCAAAGTGTTTCAGTAGTAACATCTATATTAGATATCATGAAGAAATTGGTTAATTGGGTTCTATATATGATACATTTGAAAAGAAAATTTCTTTTCAAAATATTGCTGTGATATGACTAGGAAGACAGACTGCAGTATATCTTAACACATGCCATATAGTTTTGGACCCTTATGTGTTTCTATTTTCCTTTATTATTTGTTATTCCTAAGTGTAGATGAATGCTGATATTGGTCCCACTGGGCCCCAAATTGATCGCCCTTATGTTAGTTTTCTATGGCTGCTGTAACAAGTTACCACAAACTAGGCGGCTTGAAACAGCAGAAATTGATTCTGTCTCTGGAGGCCAGAGTTCTGAAATCAGTATCCTTGAGCCAAAATCAAGGTGTCTGCAGGCCTGTGCTCCCCCCAGAGTCTCTGGGGAGAATCTGTTCCTCACCTCTTCCGGCTTCTGGTGGCTGCAGGCATTCCTGGGCTTTGGGTTGCATCCCTTCAGATTTACCTCTGCTCTATCTTCACATCACCTTCCCCTCTGTGTGTCATCCCCCTCTGCTTCCCTCTTTTTTTTTTAATTTATTTTTTAATTTTATTTTTATTTATTTATTTGGTTGGTTGGTTGGTTGGTTGTGTTGGGTCTTCGTTGCTGCACGTGGGCTTTCTCTAGTTGTATCGAGCGGGGGCTACTCTTCGTTGCAGTTCGTGGTCTTCTCACTGCAGTGGCTTCTCTTGTTGCGAAGCTTGGGCTTTAGGCGCGTGGGGTTCAGTAGTTGTGGCTCGCGGGCTCTAGAGCGCAGGCTCAGTAGTTGTGGCTCACGGGCTTATTTGCTCCACAGCATGTGGGATCTTCCCAGACCAGGGATCGAACCCGTGTCCCCTGCATTGGCAGGCAGATTCTTAACCACTGCACCACCAGGGAAGTCCCTGCTTCCCTCTTAAAGGATGCCTGTGGTTGCAGTTAGAGCCCACCCAGATAATCCAGAATAATCTCATTTTAAAATCTTTAACTTAATCCCATTTGTAAAGACCCTTTTTCCAAATAAGGTGACCTTTGTAGGTTCCAAGGATGAGGACCTGATAGCTTTGGGGGTCTGCTATTCAACTTATTACATCCCTATGCCAAACTGTGATTTAGTAAAAACATTAGTTTTATTTGACCAAGTTCTGTGACTTCTGTCTCAACTGTCTCTAATAATGTGAAAATAGTGTTGCAGATAATACAATGGAGAGACTATCTAAGTTTTCTTTTTCTGAAATTATGGTATATTTTTTTAGAGGTTGGGATTTATTTTCCTGTTGATTTATATCTCTTATATATTTAAAACCCAGAATTAACTAAGTTATCTAGATACCAAAAATGGATAATTTAGGCTGTGTGAGGCACAAAGATAAGCCCTGCTTCCCCATTGCTGGAACAAAGATTACTCAGTTCTCACTTCTGTTTTTCCTTTGGGCTTCCCTGTCTCTTTTTTTTCTTTAACGCCTTTATTGAATATAATTGCTTTATAATGTTGTGTTGGTTTCTGCTGTATAACAAAGTGAATCAGCTGTATGTATACATATATCCCCATATCCCCTCCCTCTTGCACCTCCCTCCCACCTTCCCTATCCCACTCCTCTAGGTGGTCACAAAGCACCGACCTGATCTCCCTGTGCTATGTGGCTGCTTCCCACTAGCTACCTATTTTACATTTGGTAGTATGTATATGTCCATGCCACTCTCTCACTTTGTCCCAGCTTACCCTTGCCCCTCCCTGTGTCCTCAAGTCCATTCTCTATGTCTCTGTCTTTATTCCTGTCCTGCCCCTAGGTTTTTCAGAACCATTTTTTTTTAGATGCCATATATATGTGTTAGCATACGGTGTTTCTTTTTCTCTTTCTGACTTACTTCACTCTGTAGGACAGACTCTAGGTCCATCCACCTCACTACAAATAGCTCAGTTTCGTTTCTTTTTATGGCTGAGTAATATTCCATGGTATATATGTGCCACATCTTCTTTATCCATTCATCTGTTGATGGACACTTAGCATGCTTCCATATCCTGGCTATTGTAAATAGTGCTGCAATGAACATTGTGGTACATGACTCTTTGAATTATGGTTTTCTCAGGGTATATGCCCAGTAGTGGGATTGCTGTGTCATATGGTAGTTCTACTTCTAGTTTTTTAAGGAACCTACATACTGTTCTACATAGTGGCTGTATCAATTTACATTCCCACCAACAGTGCAAGAGGGTTCCCTTTTCTTCACATCCTCTCCAGCATTTATTGTTTATAGATTTTTTTGATGATAGCCATTCTGACCGGTGTGAGGTGATACCTCACTGTAGTTTTGATTTGCATTTCTCTAATGATTAATGATGTTGAACATCCTTTCATGTGTTTGTTGGCAATCTGTATATCTTCTTTGGAGAAATGTCTATTTAGATCTCCTGCCCATTTTTGGATTGGGTTTTTTTTTTTTTGATATTGAGCTGCATGAGCTGCTTGTATATTTTGGAGATTAATCCTTTGTCAGTTGCTGCGCTTGCAAATATTTTCTCCCATTCTGAGAGTTGTCTTTTCATCTTGTTTATGGTTTCCTTTGTGCAAAAGCTTTTAAGTTTCATTAGGTCCCATTTGTTTATTTTTGTTTTTATTTCCATTTCTCTAGGAGGTGGGTCAGAAAGGATCTTGCTGTGATTTATGTCGTAGAGTGTTCTGCCTATGTTTTCCTCTAAGAGTTTTATAGTGTCTGGCCTTACATTTAGGTCTTTAATCCATTTTGAGTTTATTTTTGTGTATGGTGTTAGGGGGAGTTCTAATTTCATTCTTTTACATGTAGTGGTCCAGTTTTCCCAGCACCACTTATTAAAGAGGGTGTCTTTTCTCTATTGTATATTCTTGCCTCCTTTATCAAAGGTAAGGTGACCATATGTGTGTGGGTTTAACTCTGGGCTTTCTATCCTGTTCCATTGATCTATACTTCTGTTTCTGTGCCAGTACCATACTGTCTTGATTACTGTAGCTTTGTAGTATAGTCTGAAGTCAGGGAGCCTGATTCCTCCAGCTCCGTTTTTCTTTCCCAAGATTTCTCTGGCTATTCGGGGTCTTTTGTGTTTCCATACAAATTGTGAAAATTTTTGTTCTAGTTCAGTGAAAAATGCCATTGGTAGTTTGATAGGGATTGCATTGAATCTGTAGATTGTTTTGGGTAGTATAGTCATTTTCACAATGTTGATTCTTCCAATCCAAGAACATGGTATATCTCTCCATCTATTTGTGTCATCTTTAATTTCTTTCATCAGTGTCTTATAATTTTATGCATACAGGTCTTTTGTCTCCTTAGGTAGGTTTATTCCTAGGTATTTTATTCTTTTTGTTGCAGTGGTAAATGGGAGTGTTTCCGTAATTTCTCTTTCAGATTTTTCATCATTAGTGTATAGGAATGCAAGAGATTGCTGCATTAATTTTGTATCCTGCTCCTTTACCAAATTCATTGATTAGCTCTAGTAGTTTTCTGGTAGCATCTTTAGGATTCTCTGTGTATAGTATCATGTCATCTGCAAACAGTGACAGTTTTACTTCTTCTTTTCTGAGTTTGGATTCCTTTTATTTCTTTTTCTTCTCTGATTGCTGTGGCTAAAACTTCCAAAACTAAGTTGAATAGTAGCAGTGAGAGTGGGCAACCTTGTCTTGTTCCTGATCTTAGAGGAAATGGTTTCAGTTTTTCACCATTGAGAATGATGTTTTCTGTGGGTTTGTCATATATGGCCTTTATTATGTTGAGGTAAATTCCCTCTGTGCCTACTTTCTGGAGAGTTTTGATCATAAATGGGTGTTGAATTTTGTCAAAAGCTTTTTCTGCATCTATTGAGATGATCATATGGTTTTTCTCCTTCAGTTTGTTAATAT